TAGCAACACCAAAAATGTCGTTGTGTGCTTTTGTCGCGATGTGACAACACACAACAGTGGGAAAGGTATGGAATTGTTTGTAAATGCCTTGTTAACCTCGAAGTGAGGCTCCAGCGAAATTCTCATACAGTTTATGTCGTTGGTCAGCTAAGTACTTCGCTTTGTTACAAGAGACATTTGGGTATGAAAAGTTTTTTGTATAGAAGCAATAGCTTCTGGGGAGATATCCCAACAAAAAACTAAGGGAACTGATGAGGATCAGTGGCGTGATCCGAAACTATAGTCTTCCCTGCCTTACCCCTCGGCAAACAATGTCATACATTCCCCACTAATAAATAGTTGTTTTTTATAAAAACAACAAATTGGGATTCAGCCTGAAATTGGTATAATGGGTTTATGGTGGGACATATACGACTACAAAATACCGGAAATTGGAGGTACCCTTATATGGGGGCTATCCGAAAAAATATACCTATGTTCATAATTTTTTGTGTAGAGATTTGGAACCTATCGGTGGAAAAATACGATTAAGACGCCCTAAATACTGAAAATTAGGAGATACCGTTATAAGGGGGCTACCAGAAAAAATGGACCTATATTTATACTTTTTTTTTGAGACATTTAGTACCCACAAATGGGGGTACCCCTATATGGGGGCTACCCGAAAAAATGGACCTATGTTCATAATTTTTTGTGGAGAGATTTGGAACCTATTAAGAACTCAAAATACTAAATTACAGCCAATTCGGTGGAAAAATACGATCAAGACTCCCAAAATACTGAAAATTAGGAGGTACCGTTATAAGGGGGCTACCAGAAAAAGTGGACCTATATTTATACTTTTTTGTGGAGACATTTAGTACCCAAAAGGAACCCAATATACCAAATTCAGTGAATTCGGTTGAAAAACGCTCTCAAGAACCCCAAAATATCGAAAATTGGGGGGTACCCTTATATAGAAGCTATGCCTAAACGTGGACCGATAAATCTTATCTTCGAACCTGACCTGCCTGCAGACACAAGACAACCCTATGCAAAATTTCAGCACCCTATATCAATTCCTTCAGTAGATAGCGTGATTACAACAGACGGACGGACATGACGAGATCGTCTTAAAATTTTACCCTGATCAAGAATATATATACTTTATAGGGTCGGAAATGAATATTTCGATGAGTTACAAACGGAATGACAAAATTAATATACCCTCCATACTATGGTGGAGGGTTTTTTTGCTTTTGGATTTTGAAAAAAAATATAAAACAATATCCACGATTAGATATTTTTTTCAAAAATATTTTTTTAAATAATCTACGTCAATATTTGGTCTTAAAAAATTTGTGTTAAAAAATCCAAGCCAGAAACAAGTAATAATAAAATTATACTTTTCAAAATATTTAATTTTAAATCATTAAACAAAGTTTTCAATCATGTAACTGGATATATTTCCCTTTATTATTAATAAATGTTTTTGTTTATATACCTCTACGCATTTTCAACTTCTGGGGCCTACGCTCGATTCTATCATGCAAAATATATATTTTCCTAATTTTATTACTTCTCGTCTCCATCTGTCTTACAACACCCTGTCACATCGGCATCCTACGTTTGCAAAAAACTAACATTACTTCCTCAACATAACAACAGCAACAACAACATATGTTTCCGGTTCAACATAGACGACTCATACTCATACATATTTTTTTCCCACAACTGTTTATGTCGTCATAAAATTTCGTTAAAAACCTAATTTCATATTTTTTTCTCGCTAATTAACAATAAATTTTCATATTTACAAACACCCAACAACGAAATATTTAAATAAACATTTAATATTGTGTATTTTAATGATTGTTATGGTAATTCATTGTTGTTATTGTTATTATTATTATTTTTCGGGATTTTGGTAATGGTATATCCGTTTGTGTTTTTGTTCATCATCAACAAAATATTTCCCGCTTAAAACCCCAAATTGTATTTAAAAATTTTGAAATGTTTATGGCGGGAAAAGGAAAGACGAATGCACTCGTCTAAAAACAAATCCAAGTAATTGTATGTGTGTTTGGTGTGTCGGTGTGTTGCATGATTCATATGTCAATCAAATGTCAATGTCAGTTGGAAAATCATCGAATAGAAATAAATTCTAACAAGCTGAGTATGCTGTCGATATTTATGAAATATAGAGGTGAGAGTGACTGTATGTATGTTTTTGTCGGTGAGGATCACCGTGAGTGGCATATGACGTAAAAATGATGCCAAAATATAATAACAAAAAAAGTAGGAAGCATAACCTAGACACAACCTCTCTCATGACATGAGAAAAATACTTTTACTTTTTTTTAATTTTAATTATTTTCAAATTATGTCATGTTGTACCTTGAACCGCAGATAGGCACATGATATATTGACAAATGAGCATCATTGAAGGTAATGCTTTGGATCGTATATATACCTCATTTGGTGATATATTATCCATTTCGGAATTAGTCGTACTGCTCACCAGAGAGACCGTCAGATGGACGGGTATTTTTAAATAAATTACAAACTGTATGAAATGTATTTCGTCCAAAAATAATTGGAGTCTATAGCCGATATTTCGATGAACCACATTTTAATACCCTTCACCACACTGTGGTACAGGGTATTATGTCTTTGGGCATATGTTTGTAACAGGCAAACGGAAACGAGATAGACACATGGTTCCTTTTGAGAATATGCATAGAATCACTTTCTAAGTCGATTTATGCATGTCCGTCCGTCTGTCTGTCCATGTTAAATTGTGAACAAAGTACAGGTCGCATTTATTATCCGAATTTGATGAAATTTGGCATAAGTCACTTATTCGATTTGAACGAAATTTGGTACAGCCTAATGATTTAGGTCTAGAACAATGTGTGTTAAATTTCCTGAAAATCGGTTCAGATTTAGATATAGCTCCCATATATATTTTAGTCCGATTAAATGTAAATGGTGCACAAAAGTTCCTATATATCTTTCGATTTGAACGAAATTTGGTAAAGCCTAATGATTTAGGTCTAGAACAATGTGTGTTAAGTTTCCTGAAAATCGGCCGTGATTTTGATATAGCTTCCATATATATTTTCGTCCGATTTAAGGTAAATGCTGCACCAAAATACCTATATATCTTTCGATTTCCACGAAATTTGGCACAGCGTAATGAATTAGTTACAGAATGATGTGTGTTAAATTTCCTGAAAATCGGTTCAGATTTGGATATAGCTCCCATATATATTTTCGTCCGATTTAAGGTAAATGGTATACCAAACTCTCTGTATATCTTTCGATTTGCACTAAATTTGGCACAGCGTAATGAATTAGGTATAGAATGATGTGTGTTAAGTTTCCTGAAAATCGGTTCAGATTTATATATAGCTCCCATATATATTTTCGTCCGATTTAATGTAAATGGTGCACCAAAGCCCCTATATATCTTTCGATTTGCACGAAATTTGGCACAGCTTACTGAATAAAGTCTATAATTATGTGTGTTAAGTTTTTCTGAGTCGATTGACGCATGTGCGTCTGTCCGTCTGTCTGTCCGTCCATGTATTTTTGTGAACAAACTACAGGTCGTATTTATGATCCGATTTGGATGAAGGGCCTATTTTTGTTCGATTTGCATGAAATTTGACAGAGGGTATTAAATTAAATATAGAGTGATAACTAACAACAAATGGTGTATGCAATGGTTGCTCAATTAGGTCCATATGTTTATATATATATATATATAGCTCCCATCCCGATCTCATACAAATGGTACACCAAAGAATCGAAGACAGCCCGTTTGACATGCAATTTTCATTGATTTCAGAATGGTATGTGTTTTTTCAATTGGTTCAAATATCTATCTAGAGAGCATTTAATTTTGCCCGATTCCATCACAACGGTCCTCCAAAGATCCTATGTCTGTTCTACCTACAAGGCATTGTAGATATCTTTTGTATTTACCCAAAGTGGTGAAGGTATCATATAGTCGACCCCATCCGACTTTAGAACTTTCCTTACTGGTTTTTAATTTAGCATTCTTTAAAAATTCCAAAATCTCATTCAGTCACTTCTTCTAAATTAAAATAAATGACAGACGTTGACAGGTTTGTGTCCCTCACACTTTCCCCGCATTTCACTGACATTGATGAGATATTATTTTCTATATTTTCAAATTATTATAATTGTTGTCAAGTACCAAGGTTCACTACTTTGACAATTGTCTATTATTTTAATTTATGTATTTAAATTTTAAAAATACTTTGTATTTATTTAACATAGATAGATCACTATAATTTTAAACAATATACTATTTTTTTTTTTCATTCAAAAACTAAAATTATAAGGAAGACAAGGCATCTTTTACATTGTTTCTTAACATATGGTCAAGATTTTTTGTGACATAATTTTGTTGCATTCATACAATGCACAATGGGTGATTCTTTGAAAGGGTTTAAATATTTCTAAAAACTCAAATGCAAAGATTAACAGGAAATATATTCTGTGATATGCAAACATGTTGACTACAGACGTGGATATATTAAAAAATATTTAGTTTTGAATACGCCCTGTATTTTAGCTGCCAATGAACCAGACATGAATTTGACTGCGGATTTATGGTTAATAGGAGAATAAAATACCTCGTCTCTAATTCGCTCTAGCACATGAATGAATTACTATAATCCGTATAAAAGCGATGTTCTTCTACATCAGTCTCATTTGCGCCCATTCTCCGACCGAAGACAAAAATGGACAGACCAATGACATATTTTACGAGCGCCTACAAACAGAATGACATGACATTAAAATTCTGCTAGGAGACTTTAATGCAAAAAGCGGAAGGAGGAGCGAATATCGATTCGGATCATTACCTTGTGGCAGCCAAGGCAGTCTTAATGTAACAGAAAAGGTGTGATCAAACACGATACGGGAACTCTATGTCGAAAAGCTGCAAAAAATCAATAGGTAGCATAAGCCTACTCCGCCAAACTTACCCACTTGCTTGACGCAAGCATTCCTTGTCCCAATAATAATATTAAAAAACACAATGGCAAAGAATTACCCACTACCTACAAACTGCAGCAAAAGCAACACTTGGGTACCAAAAACCACCATGAAGAAATCCATGGTACGATCCAGAATGTCGTAATGCTACTGAGGCGAAAAACACAGCGTATAGGGGAGACATGGAGATAGAGTAAAACACCAAACCGAAGTCTTTTGTGCAGCCACATGCTTCTGTAGAGATGAAGTTGTAAATCTGATAACAGATACATACAGTGTATTGAGGATCTGGAAGGCGCATTTTGTAAAGCTTCTGGTATCAAATAGTTATGGTGAAGAAGATACCCCAGAACCAATAAGAGATTATGGTATATATTGTATACCAACTAACCAACTAAGAGTCGTCTGCGTGACATGGGACAAATTGATGGAAAACGTTTTATAGCAATATTGATACACGCTATTCGTTACGCCGCACTGTCCAAAAATTTAATCTCAATCGGACACCCGTTCGAAATACCTATGAAAGCTATGGCTGCATCTGCACCAATTTCAACAGAACCCGTTATTGAAGTCTCAATTTGATACGTTGTGCAAAATTTCGTGTTATCGGACAAACATTAGGAGTTTGGTGCACCATTTATGTTAAACGGGACCAAAATATATATGGAAGCTATATCTAAAAGCTTCTGGTATCAAATAGTGCTGTTGAAGAAGATACGCCAGAACCAATAATAGATGACGATATACAGTATATACCACGTAGCCAAGATGAGGTCAGAATAGCAATCAATCGGCTGAAGAGTAATAAAGCAGCATGTGCCGATGAATTACCAGCCGAACTATTCAAGACTGGTGGTCAGTTGCTGGTCAGGAGCTTGCAACAGCTGATTAGTACAAATTGACCAGAGGAATGCATACCCAACGATTGAAACCTCGGCATCCTGTGGCCCGTGCACAAAAAAAGAGGACAAGGCAATATGTGCCAACTATAGAGGAATAAATCTCCTCCCCATGGCATATAAAGGGATATCCAGCGTGCTGTATGAATTACTGAAGCCAATGGTCAATGACATTATTCGACCATACCAATGCGTCTTCAGACCTGGCAAATTCACCATTGACCTTTTTTTTACACTGCGCCAAATCCTGGAAAAACCCACGAAAAACACATCGACACATTCCACCTATTTGTCGACTAAAAGCCAAATTCGACAGCCCTATCCGTTCATAGGTGTATAAAGCCATGTCTGCGTTTGGCATTTCTGCTAAATTAATGTGGCTATGCAGAATAACTTTAAGTGGCACAAGGTCAGCAGTTAAAGTAGTAAAGGACATATGGGAACCATTCAACGCCGAACGAGGATTCAGACAAGTTGACAGTTTGTCGTGTGATCTTTTTAACATCCTGCTGGAAAAGTTCATACGAGAGGCAAAGGTGTGTAGAAATGGCACTCGGTACACCGAAAAGCATATGTTACGCGCCTACGCCGATGACAGCGACATCAACATAATGGGTCGAACTTTGTGAGCGGCAACTTCCAACTTTAAACGAAATGAAAAGGAGTCTTCCAAAGTGGGTCTGGCAGTAAACGGCGTGAAAACCAAGATGATGGTCTCAATGCGCAAGACGTCAATTAGACTCGGAACAACTGTGGAACTTGAGAACTATAGCTTCGAGGTATTAAATGCCATAAGCAAAACTAATAACATCACTTTTGAAATTCAGAGAAGGACAGTGTTGGCCAACAGATGCTACTATGGTATAAGTAAGCAATTGCTTATGCTTGCTGTTATGTTGTGCGAATGGTTGAGGATGTCCAAAGGGCATATAAAAGCTAATCAACAGATGATTTACGCAGAAGGTGAAGGCTACGAATTCGATGGAAAGATCAAGTCGAAAAAACATTTCGAAATATGGTATTTAAAAGTGAAAAGCTGCACACAAGACCAACGCGCCTGGAAATCTTTTTTAAGCTCGGCTTAAGGAACAACTGTTTTGTCACAAGACATCTAAGTAAGTAAGTAATTATTGACCTTTATATTATCCAGCTGATTCTATCAGAAGTTTCGTCTCTGACCAAGATTTTGGTGATGATCGGTATTTTTATTACATCGAGAAGACCCGGACAGCTATAGGATTGTCAATTCCTTAGGCGTGGATTTTTAAGAATATTTTCAAAAAGTTTTTTAAAGAAGATTTTCCAAAGATTTTCTCACGTATTGATCAGGTATAGGTTTCGGTTATGTGAAGATATTCTTAAGGTTTTTTCGCCCTGGTCCATTGGACAAAAACACATTCCCAAAATTATATCCTCACTGGTGTCTGGTATAACCAAAATTTCCATTTTGTGTCGGCACTGCCTTTTGTGATAAGCAGTCTGCCAACCCAATTACTCTAGACGTGAGGAGAAAATTGGGGACCTGGAAAAGTACTCTCACTCAGGCAGGATATGGATGCTTCACCAAGAGACCTTAGTAAATACTCAAGCGAGGTTACGAAAGAGTTCTGCGGAAAGAGACCCTAATTCGTTTGTAAGACCCTAATGTCTAATTCTTTTGTTTATACGGCAAATTACCTTAAAAATTACTCAATCTACAAGATTCTATTGCAAAGGATTTTTAAGTAGATGGCAACTTAGCCCAGCACAAAATATTTCCGTTCTGCTCTTTCGAAGAAATTCATTCCCTCGATTAAACCCGCACTGACGTCGGTCATAACCAAGAATTGCATTTTGAGTCGGCACTGCCCTAACTAATTGCTCTAAGCGAGAGAGGTGACAGGACAATTGGGGATTTAGAAACTTGGATGTGTACCTTTACTATGGGCAGGATATGGATGCTGCACCTATATATATATATATATATATATATAAATGATATGTATCTATGTTGAAATCACGATAGAGGTCGCAATATTCAAGATGGAGCTCCTAGGCTGTTTGGTATTGTAAATGGGATATATCGGTCCACGTTTTGGTATAGCCCCAATGAAACGGTGCCCCCAAATATTCGGTATTTTGGAGATTTTTAGCACAATTTTTCAACCGAATTGGCATTTAGCAGTTCTCCCTTTTTCTGGCATAGATCCCATGTAACGGCACCTCCCGCATTTTAGGTATTTTGGCGATTTTATACAGGTTTTTCTACCAAACTGGTTGTAATTTGTCATTATGGGTTCTGCTTGCACATCTCTGTACCAAAAATGATGAATATCGACCTAATTTTCAGAGATGACACCATATAACCGTATCACCCATTATTCGGGATTTTTGGGATTTTGGATACGGGTTTCAACTAAACTGATTGTAATTTTATATTTTTAATTCTTATTGGGTCTGAAATCTCACTACCAAAAATTATTAATATCGATCACAGTCTTGATATAGACCCCATATGATGGTTGCCCCTTTACTCGGTTTATTCAGAATTTAAAATATTTTCTGTAGTTTTCTTCGGTGTTTTCAAGGTCCTATTCCAATCGGAAGTGGACTATATTGGGGTCTATCGATGTATCGATATAATGTCATCACTAGAATATTATTATATTTTTCGAATTCAATATACAGTATCCAATAAATTTATATTGGTCCTTCTGTCAGTTGGCCGCCACACCAAACCGCTAAATTTTCAGTTTGTTAGATCATAATATAAATTGTTCTTGGAACACAATTAATTGAATGTCATCCATTCACAAAATATGTATTTTTTAATTTATTAATTGTTTATTTAAAAACACATTTCCAAAAAACAACCCACTGTGACAAAGATGAATGATAGTTCTGTTATGGGACATATGCAACCAACCAAAATTGCCGGAAATTCTAAACAAAACAATAGAAAGTATGCCAAAAAAATTATTTTTGAAATTTTAAAACATTTTTTCATAATATTGAGAGAATGTGTGCTTTGGAATTTTCCCTATTTATTTCGGTAAAAAAACAAAAACAACAACGAATACTCATCTAAATCAGTGTACGTAATTCATATACGTCATGGGCCAAACATGTACGTAATTAGAGTTGCTTATTAAATAATGTCATAAATATATTTTGGTTTTGAACTTTTGCCTGGTGACAAATAAAATCACACAGACACACATCAATACATACATACACTCAAAAACACCAATTCACTTATTTGGCTATATTTAGAATTGCATCATTTTGTAGATGTGGAGGTGTTCATATTTTTTTATTTTTCATTTATTTTTGTTGTTGTCATTGTTGTGTTTTTCGTTTCTGGTTCATTTCTTGTCCACTCTTGTCAATGATGTATTAAATAATCATTTAAATGTATTTTTTAGTCATAATTATGTGAAATAATTATTTTTCCTTTGTTGGTGTTGTCGTTGTCGTTATTGTTTTGTTGTTGTGCTTAGAAACGACGCTGTTGCCGTTATGTGCCAAAAGATTTATTGTCTGCCATTAAAGATTTAACGTTCCGCAAGTGACACTTCATTTCGGAATGGTCTATAAATTTGTAATTTTACAACAACAAGAGTAGCAACAACAACAACAAATGGAAAACACATAAATGGTGGGAATTTTTCTACAAATACGACAATTGAATAGTCACACTTCTATTGTTATTGGAATTTTGGGGTAAATAAGAAGACCAACAGAAGAGAGTAGGTGAAATAATTATGGTGACTATAATTGGGTGGATTTTCGAAGAAGATGTTACAACGAACTTTTAAGTTTTAAAATTAAAATATTAAAATTTTTTGTGGGATGAGAATGAGATATTACAATGACTGGAGGACTTCTGTGACTGTGAAGGCGTCTATATGCGACAAATTTTTCTGCATACATTTATAGTACAGGAGAAGATATGCACGATATCTCATGATCACTGGGTATAGCATACCGGGTAAAATTAACTTTGAACGACTATTAATGGTCACATATTTTGCCATAGACACCATTTTGGTGGTTCTAGTCTTATTTTTCATGAGAAGTGACTATATGACCGCTTTTAAATTTCAAGTACAAAAATAATTGTGTATATT